TCATTGTTTGTGCATAACACCCAGTGCTCCATGCAGAATGTGCCCTCCTCAATACTCACCACCAGGCTAACCCATCCTCCCACCCCCCTCCCCTCCTTTTTTAAAGATTTTACAGAGAGAGAGAGAACACACAAGAGTGGGCTGGTGGGGGGTGGGCAGAGGAAGAGAAGGAGACTCTCTGCTGAGTGCAGAGCCTTACAAAGGGCTCCATCTCAGGACACTGAGATCATGAACTGAGCAGAAACCAAGAGCAGGGACACTTAACCAACTGAGCCACACATGCACCCCTCTTTTTCTTTTCTCTATTTAAAAGTAGGTTCTACACCCAGCCAGGAGCCCAATGCGGGGCCAGAACTCACAACCCTGAGATCAAGACCTGAGCTGAGATCAAGAGTCAGATGCTAAACCGACTGAGCCACCCAGGCGCCTCAGGAAAACAGGACATCTTTCAAACACAAATCAGAGGTTACCACAAATATAGTAAGAACCGTGTCTTCTCATGTGATATGTTATTTTTGGATAGTTTTTCAACAAGCCTTCTTTTACCTCTAATCACTGCATTTCATTTTTATGGTAAAAGCTCTTAGGGAAATGTAACAAATTTTATAATCACCCAGATTTCCTCTTGGTCCAACTGCTGGTCCCCCAAGATGAAATGAGGGAGGTGGAGGTCCCAGAATTCCTGGTGCTGGGTTTGTAGACTGCTGCAGCATGAATGGATCACCCCTAGTAACGTGAGACATAAAATGTAATGAATGACAAAGAGGTCCATCAGAAATAATTTAAGATTTATTGTTAAAATACCCCTTTAGTGATTATAATTCCAATCGCTGTAGGCATTTATATGTGTGAAGTAACTAGGGAAAAAGCTATAATAACAATAAAATAAAAATCACTAACATAAAAATTAAAATTCTAAAGATTCTTTTACCCACAGTGACTTATACCAAACTCTCATATTTAATGAAGATACTCAGAAAACATTTTTTGTTTATAAATTTTGAAAGTTTAACCTGAATTCCTTATAATGATCTCCTTTATAAACAAGAGCTTAAAAATTTTAACTTACATTGTGTGTCCTGTATCATTGTCAGGATTCCATTCTGGGTAGCTTTAAAGAGACCAGAAAATTAACTTTAAAATAAAACTGTCCTTTTCACAAAATAGCCTTGTTTGGCCTTTAAAACAGAGTTTATTTATTAGTGAAGTTATAGGAGAGTCTAAGTGTTAGAAATATTACAGTTTAAAACATATCATATAGATACTTCCAAAAAAACCTCCAGAACTACAAAATAATCCAAATGAACAAGAATAAACTTGTTCTGTATTGAAAATGTAGGTAATATATGTTGAAGTTTAATTTTTAAATTTATTTGGTAAGTCATAAGGAGGAAAAAGTGCTGCATGGGGAATTGGAAATGTTGAGTATATAGGGAAATAAGGACCAACCACAGATTTTCCTTCTCCAATTGTAATACCAATACCAAAAACAGAGTTGAGTTGTTGACACTAGAAAGAAAAGAAAGCCCCAACAGAGCTAGACATATGTGAAAACTGGCATTCTAGTAAACAATGGGTATGTGTGTTTAGGCAGGGAGATGCTTTATGAATTCAATTCCATTCCAGCAGCTTAAAATCAGAACCAAAGGTAACTCAAAAGCAAAAAATGTATATTGACGGATTCTGCTTGACAACTTGTAATTTCTAACGACTTTTCCCCTTTTCTCTATCTTCTATATTTTTAGAGCATGTATTAACTGTTATTGAAAATGCTTGAGTCAGAATATTCTATGTATCAAAGGCCATCTTTAAGTCTATTAAAAATTCCTTGCAATTTGTAGAAAAAGAGCCATTGTTTATTTGTCCTACAAGTAATATTAAATAACAAAATACCACTATCACTGAACCTAATATTCCGAAAGAGAGATTCCAGATCTAAACATTTTGTTTATAACTGGTAAAGTATGGTCAGTATCAACTATGCAGTGGTAACAATGTGGATATTACAAGCAAATGATGAACTCCCCAAAACCAATCAATGGCTGTTTGATTCACGGTACGGATGCTTTAAAGGTATTTCAAACTCCTACATTTCAAGAAGAAGCTGGCATCGACGACTGTGACTTGCTCCATTGATATGTTGACTCCACTCCTGCAGCAAAGTAAATTAGTAGAATTAACAAAAATAAAGCTAAAATATTTTCATCTGAACCAAACTCTAGGAAGTTAATTTATATGCAGTATGACAGATGGTAGAAACACCTGACCATTCACTAGTCAATGAATTAATTTAAAACCATTTCTCTGAATCCTTGTAGCATGATCCTGCCCTCAAATACGCCATGCACATTCTTGGAAAAACTGGATAACTTGGTTAACATACTAATAGACCTGACAGGGAAGAGATAGAGTTAATAAAGATCAAGAATAATAACTGACCTTGAGATCAGCTAGACATACTATTTTCTGCTGTGGACCAAATTGGATTATAATATATTGTATCATTAGAACTGCTTTTATATAACTCAATGGTAAAATATCCATGCTTCTATTTTTCTAGAAATGTTATAAATGTAGTTAAAAATAGACTTTCATCATTTTATCCAGCTTTGAGGCATGTTCCAAGTGTACTACAGCCATGAAAAGCTAAGATTCAACAGTAATGGCTTTTCTAGAAAATGCTCCCCATTTATCAAAAAACTAAGCTCCCATTATATTTCCCAAAAGTAAAGAAGCAAATTTCAGGAATGTCTGTTTCCAAATTTTAGGGAGCGGAAACACTATATTCATCAATATTTGTGCTCCTTTGTGGTTATTTTTAATTTAAGGGATTAACTTCTTTCCTATTTTATGCAAATAAGCTTTCCTTTTTAAAAAAATGCACATATAAATGATCAATGTTTTAGACAACTGAAGAAAGAGGAGTTAGGAAAAGTAGGCTCTGCAGTCAGACTGCCTAGGTTCCATTCCCAAGGTGCCACTTAGTAGACATGAATCCTTGGTACGTATTATTGAAATTTACTATGATTCAATACTCTCCTAGGATTTTGTGTAAAGTGAATGACTAAAGATAAACTGCTTATCAGAACATTGCCAGGCACATAAGAAGTGCTCAAAAAAGAACTGTCATTACACTGCTTATAAAGCTATCTCGTTTTACAATTCCTGCTTTACAAGTATCGTTGTTTTACAAATTCCCACAAAATGAGGCAAGTTTTGTCACATCCACACTACCTAATACATTGTATTTGGAATATAAAACAGGGTCAGGCAATGTTTTTAAAAGGGGGTCTCACTTAGAGCTGAACTAAAATAAGAAACCAAATTACAAGAGATACCTTCTTGAAAAGCTTCAGAATGGTATTTTATAAACCTAATTTAAAAAAAATGGATTTATATTACAACAGCTTACAAACTTCCTCTGCCCTAGAAGAATTAACTAAAATCCTGTGAAAGAACTATGAAAGCTGTTATCTCAAATCTAGATTGTCTTTTAAAAATAATGGCTAACAGCTAAGGAACTTGAAGAAATCTCTCCAGCTGGCTCCACAACCAGTTATTTGGGATATAAAAAGTTTGTACTTGCAAAGCAACAGACCACTGACTTATTGGAGGACACTTTTAAAATGGCTGTTAAGAAGAGGCGCCATAGGTAAAGTTCACAAAATTCGTAAGAGGGATTAAACAAATACCTTAACTTAGAATTTTCTGAACTAAAAATAGATTTTATTTAAAATGTCCTTGAGAAGCAGTGTGTTGGGAGAGGAGTAAAAGTTACCCTATTAGGCACATTTCTAATTCATAGGAGATGGAAAGGGTATCTAGTTGAACAGAAAACTATTTATATCCAATCCTCTATGCTCTTTAAAGTTTCAAATTTATGGTAAAAGTGTAGCTGGTCTTTCAAAGTACTAGAAGGAAGGCTAAGATCAAAGAATTATTATGTACCTCCCAAACCAACCCATTCCTAATCTACACTACACCACACCGGATCTTTGGTTTAAAGTGAGGATTAAGAGTCAAAAGGGTTTTTAAAAAACCTATATCCTTAATTCTACATTGAGGCAGCTTTCACATCAGATTAAGGTAAAAGGATTCACGTTTTGAATGTAGAAGTTCTGTAGGAAAACTATATTCACCTTGATGTCTTTGAGATACCTAAATTATATAAAGAAAGAATAATTTGGGAGAAGCACTTCTGGAATGGCAGAATAAAGAATTTAAGGGCTTCTAGAATAATACTAAAAGGAAAAATATGAACCCAAGTGACAAGACAGTGAAAAGGCTGTAGCGGGCACTTTGCTTTAAAGTGAAAAGAATTTGAGGGAAGTTTGAGGTTGTGGAGAAAAGCAATTTGACATTCTAAAATGACCTAGAAAGAAATAAAAGCAACACCATCACTGAAAGTCACTTAAAATATCAAATAATGATGACAAATTAGATCACATTTTTCACCTAAAAGTTCCTTATTTCATAGTAAGATGAAGTTTTGCTCATGTAAGCTATTTAACACTACCACTAAGTGAAAAGAACAGATTTTCCAAGTTATGCAGCAATACCAGAGAGCAGGATTAAATGTTTAAAAATTTTCATTATCTACTTTCACCACAGGAATTTTCTCTCAAGTCGTTGTTTCTATGTCAGCTATAAAATGAGAAAGGACCACAACTAAAGGTAAATAATTATTTTTTCAATAACACAGATCCCCAGAAAACATGAGCTATGTTAAGGAAACTGGAATACATTGAGAATCCAAGTGCTTAAACTTCTTTAAATTGGCCCAATTTACAAATACAAATTTTGTAAATCAATCAATCAATCAAAGGGCCTCAAGTAATTCTTAAATGTTCCCAATACTGTGGCATAATACCAAAACCAGCTAGGGCCTAAGCATTTTTACATTTAAAATACTTCTTGCACTAGGCAGGGTATCTTACTCTTGAATCCAAAGTTTCATCAGATATTTTAAAACTGTTCTCTTGTTAATTTAGACTCATTTAACTATAGTGATTTATTAATATTATTGTTCAGGAACTAATAGGCAGCAAAATCTGGAGAGAAAAGATTAATCACATATAATATAGAAACTTTTCTCTGATTAAAGCCCTCTTGTGGTTTCCTTTTGTGTTCCTTTAGTGTTTTTCTATGTGCAAACAACAAGGGTAAATACTGCTCAAAGTCAGAGTAAGATTTCCAGCAACAGCTGTTGATGTATGAGGACTCCATTAGCAAAGATTTTAAGTCCCTCAGAATCACTTTTCATTTGAGACACTGTAGCTATTTTGCTTGGAATTTAGAGATCCTATCTGAGAACACTGATCATATTGCCAATTCTGCAGAAAGGCAAGAACAGAAAAAACTGAGTCACCAAAGTTTTGTGGACCTTTTCATTAAATCAACTCCCAGCAGAGCTAAAACTTTATCCAACGTATTTGGAAAAAAGACAACACTAAAGACACCTAGTAAATAAAACTCCTTAACTTTTATGAGTTTAGGGCTACGTCTTCAATAAAAATTAATCTAGGAATTTAAATTTAGCATCCAATGTTAGTTTATTTTATTTGGATTAAAGATTAAAATATTCCTTGTTTGTGCTGTACTTAAACTATTATACACTAATTCAAAAGATTTTTGTATTATAGAAACACATAAACTTGGCTAAGAATTAACTTCTTAAAGACATTTTTCAAAGTATTCTGTAAATTCAAATAAAAGAAGTCTCTTAATTATCTGAGGCAAAAATACTGAGATTGAAACAGAAAAGGGAGTGACTGGTAATACTTTTAAATAGAATATTAAAAACAAAATCACTCATCATCTATGATTTAGTTTACTCAAAAAAATCAAGTCACTAAAAAATGCATTTTAAAGGGAGAGATATGAAAAAGAAATGACCCTTCCAGATGTTACCTTAAAGAAAAAACCCTGAAGAGTAATCATCAAATCAATTTCATGGCAGCAACATGGTAAGTAGAATAACTGTACAGCACATCAGGAAATATGGACGGTCAGAGAGCATAGATCAAGCTATTAGAGTGCTGTTATGTTGACTTTTAAGCCAACTGCACTATATATCGAAAAAAAATTCAGTGAGAACGAGTAACATTGAAAACGGAAGAGAAAGGACAATGTATTTATAAGGGCATTTTGAAAAAGCTCCCATTTTGCTAGATGTGATAATTAAAGCAAAGGAGAATTAGATATATATATATATATATTTTTTTTTTTCCTCTCAAATGACTATACCAGAAGTCTAAGCCTAGTCAGAAAAAGAATATGCTTATGAGGAACATAGAGCAGGATACTGCAGTAGTTGATTTTTCCAAGTCTCTAAAGGGACAGATGCAATATGGGATAATAAAAAGTGAGTTTTGAAGTATGTTTAAGAAAGTTGTGGAAAAGGAGAAAAAAAATGATGAAAAATTTCAGTCATAGTATGAGAGTTTGTGTTAAAGGGAAATTAAAAAAGAAGAATGAACTAATCTAAAATATGAAACATACTGAAACAAACACCAGGGCTCTACATTAACTCTTTCCCTGTAGCCACAGATAAGGAAAAAAAGAGAATTGTTCAAGAATACATCTTTACTACATACAAATCAGCAATCAAGACAGATGGAGAGCTGAAATCTAGTATCCTGAATGGCAGAGCACATTGACTGCAAAAAAAAAAAAAAAATTCTTAAAACAATTCAACAAAGCAGACAAAAAACCTGCTTAAATATATGGTTAAGAAGAACATATTGATGCCAAAAACCAACAAGATAATCCCAGTGGATGACAGCTTTGTGGCTAGAAGTCATCTAGGCAGATTATATTAATGTAAAGCCCTGGTTTAATGCTCAAAAACAATTACCTTCCAAATAAAGTGTTCTCAAAAGCATAAAAATTCTTGATCAACTCAGTGTCACCAGACTACAGAATTAGAGTAAAAGATATAGGTAAATACAGAATAGTCACTACAATGTAAAAGAAATTAGAAGTATCTGTTGCATTAACTCACCTTATTAGAATGAACTGGCAAATCACATATAGAGCACAGATGGGGATAACCCTTCGGTAAGAGTCCATGGAAGTCTTCAATATTGCTACTTGGAGGAGCGCCCCTCTTTTTCTCAAAGAGAGATCTCTCTTGTAAGGGGCCAGGACCACGTCCCATTCTCTCATACTCACTGTCAAATTTATGATAGTTATGCGAGGTCTCACCAAAAAAAGAATCATCCCTACACCTTTCTCCATCTCTTAATCTGTCATCTTCATAATCCATTCTGTCATAATAACCAGATTCTTGAGAACGACTTCCATGGTCATAATCAAGCACTGGGTTGAGACTAGGACCACGATCATCAAAACTATCTCTTCTAAAGTGCCTTTTTTCTTCCCAATCATCCCTAGGTACTCTGTATGGTGGTTCCCGTGTAGCAGATCTGCCATCTCTACCATAACTCAATGTAGGGCCTTCTTCAGTTCTCCTCCTTTTAAGCTGTAGAAGGATTTGGGGCAAATTCTCAGGAGTAATCTTGTCCTCTGGATAACGACTCAGTTCATCTAAGTCTCTAGCAGACAGACCAAAGCTGGCCAAAATGTTACTGGCCTGGTCTGCATCTCCACGGTGTTGAGAAGACAAAGGGAGTGGACCTCTACTTCCAATGTTAAATATAGACTGCAAATTATGGGAAGAAGTACTAGCAGAAGACAGTGCACTATGAGCTCCTTGTTGATTCAATGAAGAACTCATTCCAAGATTCATTAAACTAGCAAGGCGTGCAGTACCCTGGTTCATCCTTCCAAGAGATGCTGGCATACTTAAAGACTGGGTAGCAGCAGCAAGAAGGCCTATTCCTGCTGCAGACAGGTCACGCCCATGACCCTGCGAATCCCTACCGAGAGATGACTGCTGGAATGACTTGGACATTGTAGAACTATCTCTTGTCTAGTTTATAGACTTAAAAAAAATTTTTTTTTAAAGAAGGCCAAAAAGAAAGCTCAAACTAGCAAACTAGGTTAACTTTGCTTCAAAAAATGGTAACGCCAAGAAAAAGGATCAATAAGGACTGTAGAATCTTCTTCAAGCTGAGAACCAGCAGACAACTCTGTAGAAAAATAAGCAATTTTAGTCATAAATCCCTTTAAGTAGATGCTGTTTTTTTAGAAAAAAAACTTATGCATCATGTTGATTTAAAAAAAAACATTTAAGATCTCAAACTTACAAGGAATTTATTACATATCTTAAACAGATTCCAGATGTATGCAGAGCCTGCATATAGATATTTAAAAAGTAGTCTTTCATGCCAAAGTTTATTAAAGGGAATTCCATACTGAATTTAAAAACATTTCAATTGAAGGATTAGATGTCTGAGTACATCAAAATTTCAATAAAAATATAGATGGGTCTCTTCTTTTGGAAGAATAAAAATACACCTATAGTATGATGTTTAAGTTCCAGGAGAAGACTAAAAACAAACAAAAAATCAAGGTCAGCAAGTCAGATGAATCAGTTGTATTCTGCTTTAGAAAATGAGACCTATTATTACTATCAGAAAGAACCAAGTAAAATCACAAGTAAATGAAGCTTAGGACCAAGTACCTAGGTATAAGATCTAAGACCAAACACAATAGTCGAGACCTTTATGCAGCAAAATCAATTTGAGGTAAAGACAGATGTGAAGAAAAATAAGTGACTTCCTAGTTTCAGGATTTCTGCACAAATTTAAGCCATATAACTAACTGCCTTCTTACTATCCATCCTCTATCAGGCAGTGCTTATTTCTAATATTAAAAAGTAAGGAGAACTAAATATGGTCAATATAGAAATAGGAGAACACCAAAGAAAAAACCCAGGTACAGGAAGTATAAGTGATTTAAAAGAAGTGAAACTCCCCTCTAAGTTAGCATCCATCAAAGCTCATTTAATACTCTGGGCTACAGAACCTTCTAGAGCTCAAATTGTGTGTAATTGTGCTTACACAGATTTCTGTAAACTTTTCACAAGATTAGCCCATTCACCAGAAATTTTAAATTCTGAACACAATCCCCCAAGATACGTTTCTGGATGAAATTACTGTCATTATCTTCCTTAAATTACTATTTTATCTCAAATTGTTACAGACGAATTTGAAAAGCATTTACATATGATTCTCATAAAATATCAAATGACATACATAACAAATGTTCTTGAGGAAATAATTTTTTATAATCACAACTATATACCGAGGTTAAGTCTAAAGTTGTTTGCTACATAATTCAATTAAGAAGCATTGCTCTGTTAAGTTTCATACATTTGATCACCCATACGCCTAAGCACTCGTGGTTTAATATTATTAAACTTTATTACATTAAAAACTGGGCAATATTCAATAGTTACAAGTCTATTATGGGACCAATTCCACCAATGATCGAATAAAGCAAGGAACACTGGACATACAGTGGTAGAGAAGTATAAAAAAAAGTTGCAGGCAAGACTTAGTTAGATTTTACAAAAAGATGTAACAAAGTTAAAAAGACACAGAAATGCTATCAGAGGTGACTGGAATTACAGAAGATGTTTTTGCACACCAAGAGAGATGAAACTGAGAAAAGATACTAAAGAAACTAGTTCTAGATGAGATATACTATATAAACTACTTACGCTTTAAGAATAATAAAGACAAGAGTAAGTGGACCTTTTTGGATGACAGTTTCCTTGGTAGGTCTTATAGAAAATGCCATACAGAATGGCAGCTGAAAAACTGCAAACATTAACAGGACCCTCTAAATTTTCATGTATACTTTATTTTAAAAGATCAAAACCTTTAAGAGGGTTTTCTAAAACCAGCATTTCGAAGTAGCAATTATTACTATTAATGGCAGTTTTGCGCTTCATGGTACAGACAAAGCTGTGTAATACAGAAAAGCCAGTTTTTCTTTTTTTTTTTTTTAAGGACTAATCCCTTCCCTTAGGGAAATTATACAATAGTATTAAGAATATGTAAAATTTTTAAAATGACCATACTTTAAGGAAATGACTCTTGGATTACAGAGATCTCAATTACTTTTCTTTATAGTACATATGAAAAGGGTGGATCTGAAAAAGGAAAGGTTAAGAGAAGTAAAGATAAAAGATAACCTTAAGACAAAACAGAAAATGGATGTCAGGAAAACTCAGAAAAAGAGCAAGACAGACAATGTAAATCCCATGACAACTTGTAATCTCGTAAGACTAACCATAATTATTTTTGAGACTCAAGAGTTTCAACTTAAATGCAGCCCCACACAAAGACATGAGAACATTATTAGTGAAAAGTGACTTAAGTCAGACTTTTGACCGGAACACGAATAACCAAAGTCTTAATTTTTTTTTCATTAAAACAAATTGAGAGAAATCAGACATGACAGCACTGTTCAAAGAGCACTTACAAAAATAGTTCCATTAGTATCTTCAGTCAGGGATAATAAAATGACAAGCCATTTTAAAAGGCTCATTTAAGCAAGACCTACTGCCTATTAAGGTTAGCACAACAGTGAGGTGTTTACTAAATTACTTTTTAAAAAAGAGTAGCTTATTGTACTGTTTTTCCCCATATTATAAAACTGCCTTCCCATAGTACACTATACTACAGGGTAAGAAAGTTCAAAAATAGTTCCTTTGAAATAACTACTCTAGAATGTAATGTCAAAATCCAATTTATCCATTAAAATCTTAATGCCCATCAATGCAAAAAAACCTTTCACTTCCAAAAAAAGCAGCATCTCCACCCTAAAATCAGGAAACATGGGATAATTCTAAGTAATTAACCTGGAACTTAAACCTAGTTCATGACATAAGTATAAATGCTACTAAAAATGTTAACTTCACGGTCAACATCTGAATAACTGTATGTATGGTTAAGAAGTAAGTTTCACTTAGTAACATTGAAGTCTCTCCATTCCATCAATAGCTTTATTGGATTTACTTTCTTCAACTAAAAGAAGTGGAATACTAAAATAACTACAGAACACGATTACTGCTTAACACACCCACAAAGTTCATGGTAAAGAGAAGCAAATGGTCATTCCCCATCTAGATTTCCTATGTAAAATAAGTTTGTCTCATTATTCATTCTTCCAGAGGATTATTTAGCAGGATTACTAAAATGAGCGTAAGAGGACTTTGGTTCTTTAAAACATTATAGAAAAAAATCCTTCAGCTTTTAAATTCAATATTTTAAAATGCCACGTCTTAAAGTATCTAACTACTATCATATCAAACTTTAGTTATGTTCTCAATTATGTGAAATAACCGCATCCTAAAAACAACTATTTTTAATGCACGTATAATCATAAAACTTGTAGAGATGCTTAAGGAAAAATACCTTTATGTTGACATTTTAACCCTTAAATCTTAGAAAAACTTAAAAGCAACAGCTAGAAAACTGTAGCTTATAGTATTTTTCCTCCTTCTGAATTAAAAACACAAGTGGGTGTTAAGAAATTTTCAGATTTTGGGGCACCTGGGTGGCTCAGTTGGTTGTGTCTGCTTAGCGGGGAGCCTTGCTTCTCCCTCTCTCGCTCCCCCTGCTTGTACTCTCTCTCTTTCATAAATAAAATCTTAAATTTTTTTTTCACATTTCCCAAACGTTCTATGAAAGCCAAACACCCTTGTGATTTGTTAAATTATTCGTGTGAAAATACGCCAGGGGCGCCTGAGTGGTTCAGTCGGTTAAGCGTCTGCCTTCGGCTCAGGTCAGGATCCCAGGGTTCTGGGATTGAGCCCCGCATCCGGCTCCCTGCTCAGCGGGGAGCCTGCTTCTCCCTCTCCCTCTGCCTGCCTCTCTGCCTACTTGTGCTCTCTGTCAAAAAAAAAAGAAAAAAAGAAAATACGCCAAGTATGTTTAAGGTAGCAACCAACAATACCAATATAGCAAAAAAAATTCTAATTGTCACCAATAGACAGGAGGGAAAGATCACTATTAGTAATTTCAAAGAAGCATCATTTCGGAAGGTAGCAGCTTAATTTTTGTCATCAATCACACAAAAGCACAGATTCCTGTGGTCAGAATTTGTAAACCAAGCACCTGATTCATTTCCAACTACAGTAAAGGGTTAGGTTAATTATTCCTTAAAGTTTCACACTTTTAATTAATTTAAAATGGTCTCACAATTCAACATAGTTTCCAACTTAAAGTTAGTAAATTTTTATTTTAATGTTAGTTCACGTCACTATCTTTTCTTAATAGATTTTGTAACATACATCTTAAGAGTTTGGTTTTTAAAAATGGATTTACTATCTGAGGAATTACTCAATCTTTTATATAGAGAGCTTAAACCACTTTGAAACCTTATACTTATTTTTTTTTTAAAGATTTTATTTATTCATTTGACAGAGAGAGACACAGCGAGAGAGGGAACACAAGCAGGGGGAATGGGAGAGGGAGAAGCAGGCTTCCCGCGGAGCAGGGAGCCCGATGCGGGGCTCGATCCCAGGACTCTGGGATCATGACCTGAGCCGAAGGCAGACGCTTAACGACTGAGCCACCCAGGCGCCCCGAAACCTTATACTTTAATCTGTGGTTCTTCAGTGCCATAATCTCATTTTAGAATGGCATACCTTTGAGTGACTTAAAAGGTTTTTTTCATAATAAAATGAACTACTAATAGTTCACAAACCTCTTAGGAAATAAAGTCCTAGCTCTATTCATTTGTTTTGTGTAAAGCAATACGCATCTCATCACACCTGAGGAAAAAAACATTGTAAAAAGTAGTGCTGAGAAGGCTGAAAAAGTCCTTTACGATTATCATTCTTAATCCATTTTACAGACCTGGATTCAACTTCTAGCCCACTTCTTGATCCTTAGGCTAATGATATAAGAGTGTTTGTTGCAAAATGCCTTCAGCTGCTAAAACAGAAAACAATCAGGAGGGATTCCTATTCAGGCTTGGAATATTTTTCTTCTTCCTACACTTAAATTTTTTCTTAGCGACTTTCAATTAGACATTAAAAATTTTTAGATTAAAGCAATGCAGGACGGAAAGTTATTCCATTTACCTGACACTTGTGACTCGATTTGATTTTGATACTAGCTTGTCTTACTTTCTTCTCAGAATTAGTGGTTTTCCTCAAGGTGCCATTCTGCAC